GAACACGTGCTTTTCTTGAAAAGATGAATACCAGCATAGGAATATTTCCGATTTCTAAAAAAAAGTAATTATCTTTCTAGGCAACCAATAGATTGTGGAACAAAACAACCGTAATCTCTACCAGACAGTAATGACTTTTGACACGAACTGCTCGATTTTGCCCTATGCTCAAACGAGTTACACCTTTCTACTTTTGAAATTGCCTGTAGTTCTTAGCAAGGTTACCGGTAATGATGATATTCTTATACTTTGGATAGAAATCTTTCCACTTCGGATAAATCACTTTTTTGACTGAGAAAACGTAGACATTAGCTTCTTTATGGAGACAAAAGGGCCACCAGAGCTGGCCTTATTTTAGAAAATACTTTTTCGTTGAATCAGTAGAATTTACGCTTCACTTTTGTGGCGTTATTAGGGTATGAAAGCTGGAGACAAGAATTCGATTTGTGGTCTGATGAAGCGAAGGCGTTAAACGGGGTGGAATTAAATGCCCCGAAACAAAGATTTGTTGTGTTTAAACGTGTAATATAAGGAAATACCCGATTTTTCATTCTGTCAATTCAGGCCCATAAACAAAGGTTTAATTGCCTCGGCGTTATTAATCCAGTAACCTCTGATTGAGAAATAATTCTGATCACGCTTCTGAAAGAAATGAAAATAATCTAACTTTGGTGACACTTTTCAATGTTATGGGCGCGCCTGGGTAAAAGCAATTGATCGGCAAAAGTTTTCAATTTCTTTTTTTTTTTTACGTTGTTATTAACTGGACGAAAAGAAAATCAATCATAAATAGGTCAGCGCAAATTAAGGACAAACACGGTCTGTGCTTTTAGCAAATTTAGCTAGTTCTCCTGTGTTGTGATCCATATCTTTTACCGATTTTTTCATTCTTTTATTTGCAGTCTTTAGAGATTCGAATAATCCTCCTCAATCGCACGGTCAAAAGAAAAGAATTTTTTATTGTTTGAGTGAACCTAAGCCTTGGAAACTCTATATCCCTTCAATTACAAGGATTTTTAACTAATAACTTCATCTCTAAATGCATATTACTAATTTCACTATGTTGCAGCTGAAAATGCCCACGTGAACTGAATTAAAAATATATATATATATGATCCTCTTGGCCTCATTTTCAAAGGTACAATTTACCGCGTTGATTGGTTTAGCCTCATCGGAACAAAACTATTGAATTCGCTTCTCTTGACAAGTTAACGATTTAGTTAGTATCCACCGAAAAAAACGGCTCTTTTTTTCCAGTCTTTCAGGAACATTGTTTAAAGCAAATCCAAACGATCTTTTCTTCTTTCCCGGAAGCAGGTAAGCGAGCTAAATGTTACTTGAAATGAACATGATAGATGTCAAAGTTCGGTAACAGCTCTCAAACTGAGGCGCAGCGGTTTGAGCTGAAAGTACCTTAAAAGTACGCTGGTGCAGTTTAAGTAATTTAGCGAGATTCTACGTCTGCTCTCATTTCTCTTCTAGAGCAAACAACAATTGAGATCCCATCAAAATTCCGGAAAATTCTGTCATAAGCAACAGCTCGCTAACAGCCCGCGTGTTGAGCCGGCAAAAGGGCTTAATACTTTCACACTTTGAATGGTTCAAAATCTGCCCCTATACTCGTGTGTTTTGAAGTTTTTCGTCGCTTGTAAATTATATCGAAAACAAGGTCGAGATCATTTTCCATTAGAAAGGGACCTAAAACTAACAAATCAATTGGTCGGGTTTCATTATAGCACCGCGTAGAAGACTTATAGATTGCTTACAAGACAAAGCAATTGTGTCAAAATAAATTAAATAAATTAAATATAATTTAATTAAATATTCTAATGTTCTTAATCTGCATCATTCTCAAAACAGGTCTATTCGAGGTCTGTATGCGGTCAATTTATGTGACCAAAACACGGCCACATCTTCTAGAAATTCTGGCGTATGTTCTCTTAAAAAAAATCTTTACGAGGTAAAAGAACCTTTAAGAAACACAATAGTAGCCTTAGGAGGTAACAATTTGTTTTCAATTTTAGCTAAGCATGCGCATTGCGGTTCACAACAGGTGTAAAGAAAATCGCATGTTAGCGCTATTGTCGTTGTGTGCTGTCACTGACTTGTGAACTAAACCATTATCCTTTCCATTTCTGTATTGCTTCCAAAAGAATAATTCTCCATCATTTTTCGTTTCACGACGAAGCAGTTCAGTTCTTTTTGGGCTTTGATAAGTGGAAGTTACAAATGATCTTTTATTGTTCTACAAGTGCGAAAAATTTAGAAGTAAACGGAGGATTTTTGATGGCAGGTTTAATTTTAGAGAAAGTGTCGAATATGTCTTTCTTTTGGGGATTGTAATATAAGCAAACATTTTACACTTAACAAGAAATCTTTCTTTGATGGCAAATTTTGCGGCGACTTAGAAAAAGACTGCTCTTCCCTGGTGAAAGGTACGCAACAAACCCCAAGTGTTTTTAACATTGTCTCTCGCGGTAGTAACTCGAACGCGTACATGTAAACATTTAGGCTTTCTGCCGCAAAAAAACAACAAACGCTATAGAAAAACTCTTCAATAAATTAAATTTGTGAATAAAATTAACTCCCACTGTATAAGCAGTTGCCAAATATGCCGGCAAAAAGGAAGTTCTTACTAGCAAATTTGAGCTGTAATTATCAAATTCGGGTTCGCGATTTGTGAAAATCGTAAGGAATTTCAATCGAGAGGGAGTGTGTTCGTAATTTTCGTTTTTTCGCTGGGAACAAAGCCTAGGTCTTATTAGAGATATTGTAAAAGAAAGAAAGGGTAAACTCGTATTGCAGCTGCTAGCATCTAAGATTTTCACAGGTCTTGGCGACTGAATTTCTAATTTTTTTTTATCAGTTTGATTCAGGTGGCGCTTGTCTGTAGTTCCAATCCTAAATGATAGCGACTTAAATGCTCTGTACGGTCACGTCCAGTCAATACAAGAGTGCCCTAAAACGCAGTCTCATTAGATTAGTCTGCGAAACGCTTGTTTACTAAAGGTGTACGGATGCTAGAATTAACTGGCCATGTTTTTCATGTGGAAGCTACTAAAAGACAAGCCGTTTAACACTTATTTTCTCTGCCTCTCACAAAAAGGAATCTCGTTCATAAAAGAAACACAGAAAAGAAAGGAGATTAGTTTTTATTCCAAGAACATTTTCTTCGGCTTAACATGTATTTAGCTATCATTGTAAATAAGTAGTCGGTGTTTTTAATAAAGACAGCGAGTTATTAAACCGTAAACCACAGTACAGTTACAATGCACTCTATGTCAGAATTAAACATTTTAACTTTTGAAAAAAGGCGAATTTTCTCGGAAATATCAAATGATGAGATTGTTTTTGTTTTTCAAATTCCAATTTTGTGCATATTAACCCGCGTTCTATAGTCTCCGATTGTGTTTTATTTATTGAAAAATTGATCATTTGCAGCTTGTGTTGATAAAAACCCTTGCTCTTTCGAATATTGATAAGTTACGACACTAAGACCCTTTTAAAACGTTATTCCTCTTTTTATTTCTATAGAAAAAAAATCTCTTATTTTCGGTTAGCTGTATGTCATTTTCGATACGTGACAACGCGTTTTTTGTTAAAATCTCCCGCTAAAATGCGTGACGTGAACTTTGCGAGGCGGTTGACGTACATAAGCGGCACGCATTTGACGGGTACAATCCATGATGTGTTTCAGCTTTGACGTGGGACATATCCTGCGTAAATGCGATACACGAAAGTTTTTACGTACCGTACACAAATACCACAGCGACCTATAAAAACTCGATCAAACTAGCAAGAGGTACAGTAAAGATGATAATGAACGCTGCCGTCGCTAATTCTAGCATCTAGAAGGGAATGAGAAAGGCTCAATACAGCGCTGATAGCTTGATCAAACAAAACCAGCGCATATGCAAGACCCGGAAATAAATGCCACTTTAACGATAGAAAGCTGGACAATACGTTTGCTGAGCAGTTGAAAATGTCCAGCTTTTGGAGAATTTGGGGAGAAAAGCTCGTGTATCTTTTCTCATCAATCCCTTTTAACCGTGGGAAAAAATCCACAAGAAACAGCAAGCTACTCTCGAAGTTTCAGAAATTCATTTACTACAGAAATAAATTGCGAAAATGTTAAGACCCTGGTTATTTAGAAATTATTTTTGATAAAATTTCTTTCTTTAATTTGTCGTCAGAAATTACAAAAACAGTCAAAGATTGTTTGCTAATATAATCGCCAAGTTTGAGAAGAAGTTTTTTTTTTTTTTTTTTGAATTGATGAAACACTGAATCTGGCCGGCACCTGTATTTAAACCTAACAATAAAATTCTAACTCATTTTCTCGTCACACAATACCAATTAGCGTGCTTGATGTTGGGGTTCCACGGGGTTTTTTGTTTAAAAGCTTAGCCTCTTTTCAGGAGGAGCATTAAAATCATCTCTCATCAGGATTTCGTATTCACTGTGCTAAATGATTGTAAAACCCACTTTGCGCGCCCTTCAGTCATTCGATGTCCTCGAACTCCCCACGGTACCACCCCCGGGGTTTGAACTGTAAATTAAATTGCACGCATTTTGTATTTTCACCAGAAAGGACAAAATAAACAACTATTTGAAATTTGTCTTTTTGTAATCTCGCGTCTGCAAACGGAACTCACTCGCTGCTGGCATTAAGAGGCAAGCAACGTTATTCATTGCAGAGGCGTCTGGATTTATCCGTCTTTATATTTTTTTTATGCTGTGTATGAAAATGATGACGGTATATTAGTGGTATAGCAGATTGACAATTGAGGCACGCGCTGCAAAATTCGCATCGACAGCTAACGTGTGCCAAATGGGACTAATTGTTTTCATTGTTTTGATTGGTCAATAGACAGAAATTGACACTTGCTGAAATGCTACTTGCAAATGACCAATCATACATCAAAAGGAGAAAATTGGTGAGCCAATGAGAAGCGCGTTCGCTATAAATGAAAGATTTGATCAAAAGCGAACAGCCAAAAAAATACAACTATGATCTTGCGTGAAGTGACAAAGTCCGCCGAATAATACACAGTAGATTGTGGCACCATTTGCCATTCTTTTTACTACAAAGCTAAAATTAATTCATACTGACTTGGGACTCGTCTTTAAAGTTTTCATTTCAATTCTACCAGATTTATTACTTTTAAGTGGCCAAACAGAGGTTTGATAGTTCGGCAGTGGTTACAGCATCGCAAGAACTTAATACACGGTGTGTAGATTACACATCGAGTATAATGTACCAGTGCGATTCGTTGTATGACCAAGAAGTTCCTCATATGTACCCACAGGTAAAAGATTGCTTGGCTTTACGCACGTCAAACGCGGTTGAATCTACTCACTTCGATATTAAATTTATTCTTAGCAGATTTCACTACGTAACACATATCCCGATCGCAGGTCTTGCAGTCCCGCAGAGAGAATACGCGGACAAGGTGAAAACCTTTCAATAGACTCACAAGGTAATTCCCTCTTCCAGTCCATCACTATGATACTCGCTTCTCGTCTGCGATGTTTTGTGGCGTGAAGGAAACTTCCTCAACAAGGAACGCTGTTTTATTTTATTTTTTTTTTCTTGTTAGAATTGTTTCAAGATCTGTGTCAAATGCAAGAGCATTGGATGATTGAAGGTATTAAAAGTAACGTATGATTTTACGTGAAGTTTGCGGTGACTCGGAGATAATTTTATTACCGTTGAGCATGTTTCATACTAAATAATTGATGAAAAACCGCCGAATTCATTAAACTTAGATTTTAGTGGCAAAAACGTTTAATTTTCTTTTGTTTTTGTGTGTTTGGCCTTTTCAGCTCGTCCCTACCAACCCAACACAACGGATGAACAGTTCGTTCCAGAGATTGAAGGAAGCTCGACAAATCTGAAATCAGAAGGTAGCTGTCAAAGTAGAATGTAGAATTACCTCAAAAAATATTTTGTGCAAATTAAATGTACGTTTTTGAGTAAGCAACAGGTATAGGAAAGGAACAAGTTAAGAAATACCTCAATCATAACCCTGCATGCGTTTTCCCTCGTTTCCAAGGATTGGAAGGCTCGAGAATTTTTTTCACGCAACTCGTCTGAGAAGTTGTTAGATGAACGTTAATTAAGTAGAATTTTGACGGTAAACACGTGCTATACTTTCGATTTCTAGCCACTGAAATGGCTAGGCAATTAGCGTTATCTTTGATAGCTCTTCGACCCTAAATTTTTGCCTCGGGGTTTATTTATACATTTGCCTTAAAACACCGCTGTAATGTAGCGATGCTCATAAATTTTTTTGCGTCTCTCACTGGAGCACAGCCTTTAAAAGCCGCATCAAAGGATCCGCGCCGATAAATGGCCTTAAATATCCATGAATATTTTCAAGGTCTCTATTTGTCAAAGATGAGGTTAAATAACCGTTTTTCTCTTGTTTTCTAGTGGAGCTTGCGTCGTGGGTATAATACAAACGCCGCGCGTATTATTTTGCCAACAAAAGTTGTACATTTGTCCTTGTTTTGCTTGGTCAACCCCATCCCATTTTTTCATTATGTAAATAAGGCATTCTTTTTTTGTTTAGGCCATTCATAACGTTAGTTTTGTTTTTAAAATGAATAGGCATTTTTGTCTAGAGGTATATTTTCCCTCGTTTTGTAGGCAGCTATGCCATACAGATTAAGTCGGAGCCCCGTGAGCGCGCCTGCCAGGAAAGTGAACAACACAGACGCACGACCTTCGAGAAGCAAGTGAAGATGGACAAGACCAGCGACAGTTCCTCCTATATGAGACTGATAAGTGAAAACCATGCTTCAAGCAGTTCTCCTCTTGTGTACACCTGCTCGACACAGCCTTCAAGTTTTCACTGCATGAAGGGTTACAGACAGCTCGCAGCAGCGTATGAAAGTTCGCCGTTCGAATCTTCGCCGACTAGCTATCCCACAATCAAGCAAGAACCAATTGATTACACAACTTGTGAAAATCCTTACGAACAAGGTTAGCTGTGCACTATATAAAAATATTTCCTTTAGTATCATAAGTTTTGTTTTTTAATGATTTAAGAACTTTCACTTGAATTACCTACAATTTTTTAATATTGTCAAAAGTTGCTATTTTTCTATCTCTTGTCTGATTAATTTACAATAATTTTTTTTCGCTTTCTCCTCCACTTTTCTTTCTTGGAGATAATAAAATCAACTCCACTTTTTTCTAGCGCTAATTTAATTTTTTTCCTCACTTGAAATGTACACTTGTTGAGAGAAACACTTTTGTTGGCCTGTATCACATTTTTATTTAATCTCTTTCCCCCACTGACAAACGTAAAGAAATTTTTAAATTCTCGACCGCCTATTGCCAGTTAATTCTTTTCCACTCATTTAGGAATGAAATTTTTATGAACAGTGAAAAATATATTTTAATAAGCTCTTTCTGCTATCTTTACGGCAATTACTACAGTTTTTCAAACTGAATTCCCCGGGAAGATTAACAGCGTGCTTAAGTTGTCACGTGGAGTCGAGAAAACTGCTAAAATCGGCTAGCTGTTCACGTTTTTTGTGAAAACTGTTAGTTGACGAATATGTTGTAAACTTTTTAGGGTTTGCTCTTTTGTTTTGGCTCTTTGATAAAGTATACATATTTGTGTGATGAAAGCACTAATGAATCTTATGCTCTGAGCTGAAATTTTTACCATTTAATTTCGTTCTTTTTTCTTTGTTTTTTTTCCTTTTTTTAACAGAACGCTTACAGAACTTCGCGACTTTTCACCATCAAACACATCAACAAGCCGAGTGTTACGGATTACCAACATCTTCAAGCGAAGGTATATCAGTATAGTTTTTTCCATTGTGAAATAGCACTCGGTGAATTGTTTTTCATTCTAATTAGACAGTTTGATAGCCCACACATTATGAATATTCATAGAGCTTTGATTTTATGATAGAAAATGTTGAAATTAATTTTAATTGTTATAGAGTGAACTGAACACAATATCTCGAATTTGCCAGGCAGATGTTTTTTGGGGGGATGATTGGAGCATCACTTTAATATTTTCTCGGCAAACACATATGAACTGTCACAGATCTAGGCCAGATGCTTCTTATTTTTCCCAATTAGTTCTCTGCGCTTTTTTTCTTTAGTTTTCTTGCCTTGTGTCTTTCTTACTTCAATCTGTTTGATTTCCAACGGAAATTTAGGTCTTTTTTCTTCTTGTTTTGCATTCGTCCTTGTTTTGTGTGAGTTATGATGCTTGTCTCCCACTTAAAATTCTCAACAAAAAAATACGCACTAATTGAGGTAAAACATTTTTCAAAAGCCTTAAGAATATCCTGTAGTTTACATTTGAGATGATGCTTAGGTTAGTCCAAAGATTCACCCCCTTAATACTGTTTCTTTAATTCACTCTGCCCCTAAGACCTCAATCCAAGTTTGCTACTCAGATTTCACACAGTCGATGCCCTTGTTTGCATATTATATTTTTCTAATTAAATTATACCTTGACATCGGAAGATGCAGCAGGGCATTTTAAGCCTTGAAGCACGGTAAAATATGATAGGTCTTTTCCAAACTTTTTAAAATTAGTTTAGTTTTTGAGGGCCATTTAACCGACATTGTCAAAAGTAATTTAATTTGCTCGGTGCAAGGCAGTCGTTTAAATTCACAATTACGGGGCAGGTGTACTTCTTGTTGAATAGGGTAAAATTTCGCCTGATTATCGTTTTAGGGTTCTTTTCCTCCGAATATCTTTTGAATACGCACAAAAAAAATTCCCTCTTACCGGCTGGAAATTAGTGGCAAAAGTGTTATACACGACCTTTTAATTTCCCAATTGCGCTCAAATGAGGAAAAATAGATTTGTCCCTCTTTTAACGATCGCGAAGCCTGTACAAAAAAGAGCATTGCGGATTAAATGAAATAACAACACTTTCCTATCTTTACTGTATTAATTTTTATTCCACAATAAAAGAGGTTGTGTTGGTGTTTGGAAGGGAATTTATGAGTTGCGCTTGTTGGCGTTAACTTAAAGGACAGTTCTTGAACAGAATTCCGCGTACGTCCGCAAGAAAGCATTAATGAAGGGTTTCGAAAGATTTCGATCTTGAGCGATCACGAGAAATCAAAAACAGAGAAATAGTGGACAATTTGACGGGTCTACTTTTTTGTCCTTGTGCATGCGATTTTCAGCTCTTTACATCCAGTTAATTAAATAAGTAGATAGTTTGGCTCGATCATAGCTAAATGAAACACTTTCCTCAGAACTCAATAAGTCGTAGTTTAAAAAGTGTCAATTGAATTTGCCCTTTCACGGTGAACACTGCTATATAGAAAGTGTAGATCTATCGTGAAGATGATAATGAATCGTGTGCTTTGATGTACAAAAAAAGAACTTTTGTATACAAAACACAGTCAATATATTTCACGATCTGCAAACGTGAAGAAAAGAAGTGCCATATCTCTGTTAAATTCAATCCGTCAAATATCGGAAAAACCTTCGGGCGTAATAAGATCACCTGGCTTGCCTTGAAAACGCTTCGTTTGAAAGTCTTGAAGAGAGACAGAACCTCCTCGTTATGAAATAAAAACTTCTATAATTCCTCTTCAAAACAATGTTAGGGTAATTTTGCGGACCTCTGTTGTTAATCATCGTAGCATGCTGTGAACCCCTCGCCAAGAGCGGCAGAATTTTGCTTGCCAAATTGAGGCAATGCTTCACGGCTTTCCATCACTCTTTTCCAAGAACTGCGTGATCTTTTGACTTCCCTTGCATGGGATTTCTGCTCTCAAAAGCATGAATGAATAAAGCCTTTCCAGAAATTCATATTCTTCTGTAGATTTGTTTTCAAAAGAGCCATTTTAGTCGCTGGAAAAACGACGCTTCCACTAGTTTGTTGCAATTTGTTTTGACGATCGCTCCGCTATACAAAAACTGATGTGAGTGCAAAGTTTTCTCCGCTTACAGCGAAATTTTTGTTTTAACGTGAAAATTCCCTGGAAAAATGTTCAAGGTCTTGAAATACATAAGAATATTGGAATAAAGAGGAAGAGAAGCCTCAATTTATACCAAAGACAGGATATTTACCATGGCAAACGGGAAGCAATGTGTCAACAAGAAAGGGCGGAAACGATTTGAGATTTAAGAGTCTATACTTTAAAACACTCCGAAAAGTGGAAACGGTTTAATTTTTGCTCCTTTCTTTGAAACTAAAAGAGACTGGCGACATTACAAGCTCGAGATTTTTGTATTAACAGGGTAATCTTCTTCTTTTGAAGAATAAACGAGCAAAGAATGAGTTTATAATCCGCGCTCGAATCAAGTTGAGCGCGATATTTGGCGGACATTCCTGGGCGATTTGTAGCTCCTAGGCGACAAGGTCTTTTCCTTTCCTGTTTAAACTTTTCTGTTATCGAACGGACGTACGTAATGTTAAATCCGCTTGGCATGAAAAATATTGTAATGCTAGTGACAAAGTGGTATTTAATATGGAAAGTTTAGTAAATGATATCAAGCCCCTTTATGCTCGGCTCACGAGATCCGCGATGTCCCTTTGATCAAAACACTGACTATTTGTCGTTTATTTGAGCTAAAATACGACCGGACATGACTAAAAAACAAAAATTCAACCTGTGCTTACGAGTTAGCGAATAATAAGTCTCCGGTATTTAAAAATGTTGCATTCATCTAGCGTGTCAAAGCCGGGATGTACGGCATTAAGATGGCCTACACACAACTATTCGGTCAGTTTTTTTCCCTTCTTCTTGCTTGATTTTGGTGTAATAACAATGCAGGGAGGGTGTCGTTATTTTATTTTACTATTTTTTTTAAAGAGAAATATTCTTTGTGATCTTTGTCTTAATCTAAAATTGAATTATTTTCAAATAGCGCCGTAAATTTACTTAGTTTTTTTTTCTATGCTCTGTTTCTAGCTGCTGTTTACGACCCAAACGTGCACTCGTTTTACGACGAGCCATTAGCGTATACAGATAGATATCACAAATACCCGGACTTCAAAGATCACAAGACAAGTTACAGAGACGGTGAGTTAAAAAAAAACGCAGATTTTCTCTCTTTTCTTCGGTGGAAGTTTACTCACTTATGATGGGAGAAATTCATTTTCCCATGCCTAGCTGTGTATTTGAAATAAAGCTTGTTTCGCAGCATTTTCTATCGATTTTTTTCTTTAAAAATGACGCTAAACTGAGCATCGACGTACATAAAAAAATATTTGTAAAACTACTTCAGTAAGCGGAAGAATACTGCTCGTCAAATTAATACGATTAATACAGCGCAACTCCATCTGACAACAAAATATATTCGTCATATCACACAGCGTCTTATATCTAGCACCTATATTTCCCTATTATTACGCCATGTCAAAAATGAGGGGAGAAAAAAATCATCTAAACGTTGTTTAACACCTGTCGCTGCACACACGCGCCGATAAAAAAGAAGTGTTTTAAAAGGGAACGGTTCCTCGTTTAGTTTCCCAAAAGTTTATAGCATTAGCGGTGTTTTTGTGTACAAGGGCTTTTCCAAGGTGTTGAATTCTACTTTAAACTGATATTTAATGATAAGCCCGTGAAGTCTGACAAAATCCCATATACAGTGCTGATAAATCGCGATATGAAACACGCTTTAAAAGCTGACTTGCTATCTATCATCCGCGGCCCTAATTACTGTCAATGGCATAAAAACAGCAAGCGACCCTACGCAAATTGAAAAAGATGCGCTTCGAACGCAGTTCAGATATTTATCAGCCACTTTGCCATTACGCCGTCATTAAACGAAGAGAACCGTTTTCCGGATAAAAGTTACAATGTAATCTTTGCTTAACCATTCTTTTTTTCTCGATCAATTTTTGCTCAAAGAATGAGGCTTTAAGAAAGTGCACCTAGCCGCTAACATTTAATTGCTTAAATTGGTCGAAAATTCGCCTCCTTTGCGATTCTATATCATCAATTAATTCCAGGAAGTTTTCTTGCCGATTAAGACATAAATATTCTTGAAAAGGACGAGTTTCTCTGCAAGAGATGTTCAACTAGATCGCTAAGTTTTATGTCAAACAAGATTTCAAAATGGGAGTGCAAAGCCAATTTTAAAGGCCCGGATGTTACTCAGCACTTGAAACAGTGAGACGAGACAATAAATACCAAATCAGCTAGGTTTGTGTGAATACGTTTTTGTCCAAAAAACAGTGGGGAACGCGATGTTTTTCTTAATCAGATTCCGCGTTTTTTCTAGAAAGCAACGCCTCTTTGCTCTTTTTTTTCTCTTTTTTTTGAATAATTAGAAGGTAAATTACTTTTAGGGAAATTAAACACGGTGACGCCAAACTTCTCTCAAGTCGTCACAAATGTCAAAACCATTTGATTTGTATTTCAGTTAAGGAAACTTTGTCCGTCGCAAGATTAATTTTCATCTTTTATTTGTTATTTTCGTTTTGTAACTTAATTAAAACGTGAAATGCAAACGTTTTCGCTCGCAGGGATCACCCACCGATTGCTAAATTAACCCACACGCAAAGAACGCAATTTTACAAAATTGCCCATGAAACTTTGGACGTAGCGATAAAAAAAATCACTTACTCGCTATATTATGCAAACAGAACGTCTTTATGCTCCACACAAATGCGTCATCTGCCGCGTTGAAGTTTCTTAATCACGAGTCTAAGTGTTTTGAATATCAATGGCTGAGTGAAGAACCATTTCATATCTTCGGGCGCACGTCTGTCAAGTATTTCCAGCTAATGGCGTTTTCTTGTAATTAATAACGTTTCGTCCTATTTTCTATATGATAAGCTCTAAAAATTCTGGACCAATTCGCATAAACATGACTTTTCGCTGCTCTTAGCTTTTAACTCGTTTCCACATATGAACAACAGCTGAAATGCAGATCCTCTATTGTGAGAATTTTTTAATTCGCCTCTCACTTCTTTCGGATCTACGCACTTTTTCGGTTTTTTTTCGGTTTCAGGCAGTACAATCGACTTAAAAAATTCCAAACTACAAAATATACTTTAAGTATTTATTAAATTTAATGTAACAAAAAATAACTACGTATAGGTGTTGTAAAAAGCGCCGTTTATGTTCAATATTTGAGGAAATAAAGCTTTGAAAAAGGCTGGTAATGTTTCGAAGGAAGGTATTTCAATAAAGAAGTGAGAGTTTTGTATCATTTGATTTGCCACAAACTTACAGTAGCCTAGCACCGGGCATTTACAAAATGGTCTGTCATGATACATGCAGAAAAAGTAGGAGGAGTTTGGCCATAGAAAATGCTCACGGTAAAAATCAGCGTTCTAAGATACTAAGAAAAAAGATGGAAGGAAAAGAAGTGTGTAAGGAGAACAAGTATCTGCCGATTCTTCTTACCATTTCTGTTTTTCAGGCAACGTCATCCGTATTGAGGTAAATAAAAGCCATCGAAATATAAGTTTTAAAAAAGGAGCATTTACATAAAGAAATGAAATGAAGTTTCGTCTAGTAATAAAGCCTGAAGTCGGCGAGAAGAATTCAAACTATATGCTACTACAAAATTGTGAGTAGGGCATCGAGAAAGCACAGCGATTAAAGCACTGAGGACTTACAGCATAAAATGTTCATAAAGTTTGTTAAAATAGGAGAAGGGACTTTGTTCTAGTAGAATGTTTTCTATGCATGGGTGTGTCAAAAGAACGATTTCTTAAGAAAATCATAAGATGACGTTTAAACAGCGCATTTTGTCAATGCAATTCCGTATACCTGATATACGATATGTCGTGCTTCTTAAACGTAGCAACAACTTTCCGAAAACATTAGTGCAAACGTCCGGATGCGAAAATAGGAAATAACGGCAAATGTTTTGCCTCATTGTTCCGAGAGAATCACAGGCAGCGCTTAGTTTTATCCTCTTAACATTAAGTCTACTACCTTGGAGGGGAAAGAATGACCACTCCCCCCCGGCCACCACCGCCACCCGTTAGAGTTAAAGGAATGCTCCTTTGAAATTTCCTAAAAAGTTCAAGAATCCCGCTTCATGAGCGAGGTTTAAATTCGTTCTAAACTCTCACAGGTACTAAAAAATCACTTGAGTAACAAATAGATCTAATCCGTTTTCGCTTCACCACGCCAAAGTTGATGGCTTCTGGATGGTACAGCGACAGCTAAAGTTTTCGCTTTAACTTCTAGTTGTCTGTTTCTTTCCTTGGTTGCTAAGTGTTGTGAAACCTAGCAACATTTTTGACTAGGCAGGGTTGACGGTTAAATTTTCGACCTTTTCCCGAGCCCATAACTCCTGGCCTTTTGACGGCTGACGGTTCAAGCCACCATCCTGGACACCCATGGGCAGTCAGTCGGGCAGGGAGAAAAAGCTCGACGAAAGTTTGCAACAAGAACAACAAGCTTTATTTGCAAAACCGTACAAGTACATACAGTATTGCAAAAGCTATTTATAATTATGTTTTAAAACAAGGCACTAAAATTTAAACACGGGACAATTAACCTACTTCGTTAATAATTCGTAGCGAAAGTCAAAGCAAGCTGCAATATATTTCATGAACTGTAAATTAACGTAATGATAAGATGTGTTCATCAGTTCATTGATCAAAATGTTTACAGGTAACTGGGGAATATTTGGAATTTCGAGCACGGACGGAAGAGCCCCCGGGTACCGACTCTCACCGGGCCATTTCCAAACGGTCAAGCGAATGCTGGCTCCTGATTGGGCACAAAAAATGCTTTGTATTATGGTGCCCAATCGGCGAACAGCATCTCTTGAGTTCTTTTCATGTGTTCGTACACGACTGCTATTGTGCTTTATAAGGTACCCAGGGGCTCTTCCGCCTGTGCTTGAAAACTTCGACACGCCTTTTCTCCCGGCCAGACTGACAGCCCCTGGGTCTTCGAGGATGCATTAAGACCTTCTATATGTCAATTGAAATAGAGAGGAGAAGTTGGTACGTCACGTTTCCATGATAGCAAAATTTTTGTATGACAAAAAAAAACAAAAAAAGGTGAATTCGCACAGCTTCAAACTTCATCGATCTTATTCAGTTTCAATTAATTTGGCAAATGTTGGCGAAATTTTCTTGAGGTGAATCCGAAAGGACCGTGTCTAAGTTTAGAAAAGCAAACAGACAACTTTTGTGTTGTGTTCACCGACTCCATAAAGCGAGGGTGTGAAATTAGGAATTTTCACGTCGCAAGGGTGCAACGACGGCAAAAAAATGTACAAAATAGCGTGATACACGGGCAAATTTGTTGTTTTGTCAATAAAAACCTATTACTTTTTGCCGTTCTCTTTCGGTCGCCGTCGTCGTTGGTTTTGTTGTCATACAGAAATAGTGTTACCATGGTAGCAAGGACAGATTTAACGAACACAGACGTGCAGTCGACAAAACTAACATTAAATCTAAACCCACTACTGTTTCTGAACACTTTCTCTCTCACTCTAACCATTCTCATACTGACATGCAGTTAATCCCACTAGAGAAAATTCATTCTTCACGTGACTCAGTTCGTAAGGCCAGGGAGTCGTATTTGATAGATAAGGCCATGAGTGTTGAACCTAAACGACCCTGACAAATTATTGTAATCCATATCCTTAGTATTTTTCCTTTCCAGTTTTTGTGTTGTACGTCATTTCCGCCTCTCCCTTTCAAACAATTTTTATTGCGACATTCTCCATCTATATAATATTGTGATTGCTACATAAGTTCAGAAACATCTGTAAACCTGAAGAAGGCTGGTATGGCCGGCCGAAATATTGTTACAAGAAAACAATAGACGTTGTTATGAATCAGCTTTGCAGTAGTCTTTTGGACTTCTCATTTTTGGTTTTGTTTTTTTTATATATATATTTTGGCTGATTAGATCTCTTTTCTAGAGATCTAACGTTTACAACTAGCAGGATCTTCGTCCACGGTTTTTGCAGTTAATTTAATCCTTTATTATTGCTACCATGGTGACGTGACGTCATACTTCTCCTCTCTATACCGCTTTGAGGATGTTTTTCTTCCATTCTTGGCCAGCTTACAAGCTGGGCAGCAGTGCTTCACCGCTCTTTGTTTCTTTTCAATTTTGTTTTAGGCGTAAAGGATATTTTGCTTTAAAAATTCAGTTGACCGCACCACCCGACCTGACCAACCAAAGCATCGTTAAATACAATTAATTAAATGCTTTCTGACTCCCACCTGGTTCTAAAGACAAAAAAGAACAAATTTTAGTTTTTCCAAGAAAACGAAAAAAGGCTCCAGTTTGAAAATGCGTAGCCAGAGAAAACAGCCGATATTTTGCGATACCACCACTGGCTTCTTCGCTAAATGACGTCTGAGATTCCATACATATGATGCATCACTACCAAGATCTGGGTAGTGCTTCTGATCGGTTGAAGCAAATTTTCCATGCAGCACGACCAATCAGAAGCACTGCCCAGATCTTGGTAGAGACAAGTCATAAGCATGGAATTTCTTTGCTCTTTTCTCAGACATCATTTCGAGGTTTAGTCTCGACATGTCAGTTGTTTACTCAAGCTTCATTTCATAAAGAACTTTCTCTTTCGCTCTTATGAATTCAACAAATTTAGGGACCGTCCATATTCCGCAAAATTACCGTTTTCACTGGTGATAGGTATTCTTTACGAAATTACCGCTTAATTGACCCTACTGTAACGTACTGTTCAAAGAAATCGCGTTTAGTAAAAAATGTTGCCGATATTTTTTACTGAAATTTCTGGTATCGGATATATTTAATAGGTTTCCCCCAAAAAATTAAGAGAAATCTTTCGAGCAGAAGTCCGTAATTGGAAAGTCCTTGAAACTTCAGCTGTGAAATTGTTTTGAAAATTTCGAAAATTTCCAGTGAGGGTAAAAGGCGGAATGAATTTGCGGAAAGGCATGTGGCACGGCTTGCCGAATAACGTAATTATGCGGAATGTAAAATATGGAAAATGCGCAAAGAAATAAATTGAACTGAAAAACATGTGTGCGTCTTTGCCGCGCCTTTTTTGGCGCCAATTTGAGTGAGCAACGTTTTTGCTGGTCCATTTATTACTGCCGGCTTAAACCAACAAGGCAGAGCAGAAAGTAGCGATAAGCTTTACTGCATTCGTGTCTATGTAATACTTAATTTATTTTTGTTGCTTTCGACAATAGTTTCTCTCTTTCTGCCCACAAATGTAACAAAGTTATTTTTTTCGAAACTGGTCAATTGTCGTTGCTTTTTTTTTCTGGATAAAGGGACGAGAGGTAGTAGTTGCGAATGATCGAAACACCAGAAAGAACGAAAGAAGAAAACTTAGGGAAAAATATATTCATGGTCATCAACTCAAAGTCATCAACACAGGCGCATCAAACTATGACAAACTGTCATAATACGAAACTTTGAAAAGAGCTGCTGCATATACTGAATTCAACAATAATATGGAATAATGTGAATTTACTGGTGGAAGAAACCATGCAGATGCATTGCAATACATTGAAATATGAAAATAAGTATAGCAGGAGTTTCTTAGCCAAAATTGCTGAAGGAAATTATTTCAAGAATGTCTAAACAAGTCATTCGACTTCAGAGCAAGGTTGAAAAATACCATAACATACAGGGTTAGCCTCGACTTAAAGTAACATATTCAGAAATTCCGGCAAGTAAGTGTTTGAAATTTGAATATATACAATAATAAACAGAGCAGTAAACAGGTCTTGTTCTCGTTGGAATTTGTGAATATATTTACTTCAGATGGAGGCTAAGCCTGTAAAAAATGTGTCTTCATTTCTTTAATTCGGCAGTCATAACGAACTCGAAACTGGCGGACTATTGAACTAACACACACATATATCTTCTCTAACTTTTAGCTCCTGAATTTAAAGTACCAAATGGCGTCGCGTATCCAGAACCAAGGGCCTTTCAAAGAAGGGGCTCATTACAGCTTTGGCAGTTTCTAGTAGCCCTCTTAGACGAACCCGAATGTTCCTCTTTTATCGCGTGGACAGGGCGTGGAATGGAGTTCAAACTTATCGATCCCGAGGAGGTGGCCCGAAGATGGGGCATTCAAAAGAACCGTCCAGCTATGAATTATGACAAGCTTAGTCGATCTCTTCGCTACTACTACGAGAAGGGAATCATGCAGAAGGTCGCCGGAGAGCGCTATGTGTATAAATTTGTCTGCAGTCCCGAAGCTCTCTTCAGCATGGCCTTTCCAGACTCACAGAAACCATACATCAAACCTGAGTGCCGGGAACCTAAGCCCGTGAGCGCGCACGCAAGCCAGCAGCTTCTCCCCATACCGAAGGAGTCTTACCCTAAACCACCATTCCCACAACAGCATTACGTCACCCCCGCAGGAAGCTGCTACCAAGCAGAGTGGGACCTGGACACTACTTGTGTCTACTAGACACTATTCCATTTATTAGCGTTATAAAGGAAAAGATGTTTTTACCGATGAAAAACCCTATATTAGGTACATGTCGGAGACACTCACTGCTGGATAAAAGAGAGTATGCTCCTTTAATCCCATGAATGACTGATCAAGGATCGCTTTGAACACAATTTATCTCGTAATCAAATCTTTCCAATATCCCTCAAAAACCTGCTCTGCTAACTATCAGTTTCTACAACAGGACGATCATGATTTTGGTAAGGGCACCACGAAGCCATCAGGAGGAGATATTTACTAATCTTTCCTTAACGAAATAATAGATGAATGGTCCAATGTACCCACCTTAAAATTAATAGCGGCTGTGCTAATTCACCACTTCAGGAACGAGAAGCGAGCTAAACCAAAATGCAACCCGCAAGTGTTTCTGGGATCGCTACTGGGGACAAGCCGGTCAGCTATTGGCCAGTTTTTTTCTCTGTCCCTAGTTACAATCCCAGAGGTCTTTGCGAAAGTTAACTCGGCCCAATTCCCTGCTCGTTTCTAAAATGGCGAATGAAAATCGAGCTGATGGTTTTGACAGCTTCATGGCTCTATGTTCGTTAGTTCTAAATACTAAAACTATGGTGTTGCTTCAACTTTGCTACGTACATCATGGGTTATTATATTTTGGTTGTTTTATGCTGATTGTGATGAACTCTGATTTGGCCTGCAATAGGAGCACCATAAACTGGTAAAAGCTTGAAACAAAATTTATGACAAAAACAAAAATTTTATTTTACAAAAACATGAAAAATTAAACGTATGCTGGGAGAGAACTACTGAAAAGTTTTCATTTGAATGGTAACAACATAACACTTTGTTTTGGGGCTCAAACGGGCGTTGGAGCTTCATGGGAGATTCTTTATGTGTCTCGAAATTATCTATGGTTCTGTGTTAACGTACAAATGAACGGAAGAAGAAACGTTATCCGTTTCAGAAACAACTTTTATGCAGATAACTAGCCAAACGAAGTGCTAAATATGATTTTCCGTGGTAGCAATCAAAACACTTGAACACGCCGTGTCGAAAATCAAAATTCAAAGTTGTGATTAAAAAAAAATTGTGTTGTAGAATAGTAAGTAAACAAAGAATACTTTTTCAAAATTTGTGCTCTATGTCCTTCAGTTAGAGTGTCGTCGTTTGGCTAGTTATCCATGCAATATGTGTACCTGGATCAGGCTATGAAGAGTGATATACATTTGATTGTCCAGCTCATTGCTTATTGGCTATGCTTTATCTAGTGGCCTTAATTGTTTCAAAGCCAAAGGAATAGACAGGCAATTATTTTATATGTACAGCAGGCCTTTGTAAAGTTTTATTGTTTGGCGATAAAAAGAGTCTGCTGCATATTTACTTTCGTAACGCCACATTTCTACCCGGTAGAAGTATTGCGTGACATAAGAGGCATTTCGTGACAAAAATGCGTTGTTGTGATGCTCAAAAACACGGTGGAGTAGATTTCGGACCACGATTAATATATATAAAAGGAAAATGAGAAATATGGATACGGACGGTTGCACCGTTCGTGTTGTCTATATATGTAACAAAGATTGCTATTGTTATCATCATTATTGTTGTTTATAATATGTAAAATACATTTTGACTGAATATCTATGAAATTAAATTTGTAATATTTGCGAGGCGAACTTGAAAGCTGGATTAAAAATTGGACAAAAAGGGAAATCGTTTGATAACTTGCGTGACCTTTTGCGCCGCTTCTTAATAATTCCCCCCCACCACCCCAGCCAGACAGACGTTCTTTTCGCTCGTTCGTGACGCAAGGATTGCGTGACAAGCCAGAACGAAGTACAACCCAAGTTTACCTAAGAAGGTGGACGTTGCTTTTAGCAGTTAAGTTATTACGTTCACTATTGCACTGCGGATATGACTGTCTAAGGTTAGCAGGGCATTTACTAGGCTCGGTCCTTTCTGCCATAGCTCGAATGATAGAGTCGGATGGTAATCAACCCTAGGCTTTTATCAGGTCGACACCAGAGTGTGCGGGTATTTTTTCAACAGAACTTTTCTGCTTGTTACACCTTTCTGATGTGCCAAAAGAATGGCGAAACAGCTTTCAACGGCTACAACCCCGCTCTGTTTATGCTGCCTCTATCGGTGTCGGGTTCATGTCTTGCAAAGGTAATTTTTGCGAAGGTACGATTAGAGTTTCAGAGTTATGTTTGCATTTAATTGGAAATATCCTTAGAAATCCCCAGGTGGGAAGAGACTCTTTTAGTCTGGCTTGTGTTTGATGATGCAAGGGGGTAGGTACAACGGCATTTTTTCGACTTTAAGAACGGGCGGGATTTTAGCAGGCCCGTAAATTGTTGTTTACTTCAATCTTTTTGTGAACGTGAGGGAATTGAAGCAGGACAGGTAAGTGCAGAAGCCACTGGGGGGAACTGAATGGGACACACAGCGGATAATGAATGTGAGCATGGCGTGGAAGATCATGATTATAACGAATGAAGATAAGGATTATACTGGCAGTGGTGGTGATGATGAAGAAGATGATGATGACGAAGCTGATAATGATGATGATGATGATGATGATGATATATTTGATGATGAGTTGTTGTCTTTAAAGACACAGAGAGGCCGCTCATGACCTAGCCCGGCTAGCCGCCCTCAACTTTAAATAATTTAACACCCGGTCAGCCTGTCGACCTGTTGGCGCACGAGGTACGAGAAAAATATGCTATGGAATATTTTTCTACTCGGGAGTATCCAAGCAACGGCTATGTTCAGGGGTCTAGTGTCATCTCTTTGAAAAACTTGCAATTTTAGTCTAATCTTCAGCCAATCAGGGCAGAACTGTACCTGAAGTGTATTCAGCGTCTGTCACAATGCATATGATCTGGTAAAAAAATGAACATTATCCGCAAATTAAAGGACCGCAAACGGATATACCACAGAACGTAGGATCTAAAGAAGGCCTTATCAGCAAAAATATACCAACTAGACACATTGAATATATCAAAATGTATCTTGAAATTTGAAATCCCCTCACAGAAATTCTCGCTACATTGGAAGTGGCATTGTCAGAGATTTGTGGCCAGAACCAAGAAAGTGGCAAAAAATGAAATGAGTCAGGGTTATTATACAGGGTAGCGAAATAAAGGATTTCTGTCTTAAACAGGGTGAGCGTTTGCAGGCCTCAGAGGTGGGCACACCTCTACTCAAACTTCACTTGACTGCCCCCCCGGATCATGCCCCCCTTCCCACCCACGATCTAAGAGATATAAAGAGATCAGATACAGGGAAGACATTATCTCAGGCTACTCATAGATCCGGCGGACCCTCACTGGTTTGCCACCGTGGTTTTGCCTTCACAAGTGTGTCGGCTACTCATGACCCTGGGATCGGGGGTGCTCCCTATGATGGCCTATATATACGGGGTGGATCCGCCCGAAATGGGTATCTTTTTAATTTCCGACTTCAGGTCAGTATGAAAGGGTAGGGATTTTACTAGTTAAGGTATGTGAAAGGGTAAGGAAATCTATCACTTCGGTCGTAAAAAGGCCCAAAAGCGTTAACAGATGCATTTTATTGCTGTGAAAAAGTCGAGAAAACGTTCTGGCCCCAGTTGTTCAAAAGTTGGATAGCGCTATCCAACGGATGAATCACTCTCCTAGTGGATAGTGATTTATGCGATGGATAGCGTTATCCACCTTTTGAAAAAGTGGGGCCTGGTTTTGTGATTTATTCATATTTTAAAAGGGATGGACAGTTCTAAACTAGGTATGTGAAAGGGGTACCAGTTTGTCGATAGAAGGTATACAAAAGGGGTGCCTTTTTCGCAGAAATGGTATATAAAAGGCTATAAGTGTTTGGGCTTCGGTGCAGAACCTCCCCGTACAAAACTTTGATTATTATTCTACCGGGCCCTCATCGACCTCTTTTATGTCTCCACTGCATAATCAAAACGGTCCCCCTTTCCCAAATACCAACGAGTTTTGGAAGCCTGCACATTCATCATGCTTCATAAAACACTACGTGATCAACTGATCGCAGGTTAAATAAAAAAGGGTGCTTGATGATAAAGCAGAGAACCAAGTGATAAAAATCTGTAAAGGGGCCAAAAAATAATAAAGAAATGACTCATAACCAACTGCCAAGATAATAACCACAAAATGATTGTGGCGGAAATGGCACAGTTGGCATCGCATCAGAAGGCAACAGGAGAAGCACTGAACTGTTTGGAGAAATAATTCACACAGGAAAAACAGGGATGACCAGGGAAAAAACGGGGGGACTCTAGAAAACAACAGGAGAGGGATCAGGGAAGATTCGGGGACAGCATACGGTAGTTTACATCAAGGAGTTCACGTCAGAGCACACGAGCGTGTTGCAAGGGCCTGATGCGGGTTATAATATCCAAAACATTTTGATATGTTTCAAGGTTGCGATAATCTGTGGAAAAAGTTTTATTCTTCAAAACGTTTAGCCCTCTTCTGATCGTTTTTCCGGCAAGAACTACCACGCATTTGCATTCCTGTCAAGAGAACTGGTTTTTCTTGTGTACATGACACTAGAATGGCGAAAGAAAAATTCTCAAGAAAGCTTGCCTTGTTCCCAGGGTTAACCAAACTTCCCCGCGCCCATCCGGCGGGCGGGTCGACAGTGCAGCGAAGCAAATCAAGTGCTCTCGACAGCTACATGCCTTATCACTTTATACTGCATTCTACAACATGGAGGTAAGTCCTTGAAATCAGTAAATGCTCGGCTTGATCATGTGTTCAGGCAATACACAGCATGTGATCACAGCTAATCATTGATTGAATTGATTAGAACAGCTGAATTTGTTGGTTTAACTATCACTTGCACGCCCATTGTACTTGAGCTTAGGTAATTAGTGCACCAAGAACGTGTCTAAGATGATGTTAGAGCTTGAGCTTCGAGAGTGGACTTGTTTTTTTTTTAATATCTCCAATATTGATGGATTTTATAATAGCCCTTTGGTCCATGTGTTGCTATAATTCCTCTTGTAAAGCTCAATAATTTTGTGAAATCTGGTGATAAGAGCTTGATTATGCAAATTTTTTAAGTTCCTTTCTCACAGGTTGGAGTGGCTCTTAAAGAGCTTTCATTGTTTAAATTTTTCAACATGCTCTAAGCTGCAGGAAAGCTTGAGTAAACTATTTTGATCATTATTTTTATGCCTGTAATGTTGGCATAGTTTTCTGGGTAAATACCTTTATATCCAGCAACGTGATGGCTTATCAGATTAAAGTTGCCATAACGTGACTTTGCATTGGCAGCTGGTTTCATACAGTCAGTCATTCATTAATCTCTTGATCTTTTGAGAAGCTTAAAAAGGGTATAGGACTTCAAACCGTTGTGACATGAATTCACAAATATTATACAGCACTTGAGGAAAGATGGAAACTTTCAAAGAAGTGATGACGACTTAGAATGGCGACGATAATTATGGTGTATTGTAACACACTTAATGTCCAGGACCTCTTAACATGGCCATACGTTTGTTTATTACATGTACTTGAACTGCTTTTGGCTTTGTTTCAAGCAAAAGTTTTATAGTCACAATCGTATTATAAAAATTTACATCACCCAAAAAAACGACATTCATTGTTGTGAAAACAAAGGGTCTTTGTTAACTTGGTTTGAGTTGTTTTGATGTGCCAGGACTAATGTTGTGCATCATGGGAAGCATGCTGGGGTTTAATTACAGTATTGAGCTTTCTTTCAAGCAGTATTTCAGTAATTTTTGTTTTAATGTGTATTGCGGTATCGTCTAGCCCTGTGGTATGTGGTTTCTCATTATTTTAGCGGACATTGTTGTAAAAGAAGATATTTCACCGGTACCGTTCATTTGCATTCTCCTGTCTAATACAGGTCAATACAATATGAAACACAAAAAACAGTAAGCAAAACAGGTTAATAAAAGTAAATGTTTTTAAGTTTTCAGACATATAGAGGACATTACATGGCCGCACGGGGATACAAATTTTATCTGCAAGTGCCTAAAGTATCTCTCATGCGTGAGCGAAGCGAACGAATGAGAGATACTTTCAGCACGAGAAGATAAAATTGGTATCCCCAAGCGGCCATGTAATGTTCTGTTTATTTTATAGATACTGATGAAATTCCTACATAAAACACAACTTTTGTTTTTATTCATTTTCAAAACAGCAAAATGGGACAATTTAAAGTGGTCACCTATCACAAAATGCCTGTCACAAAAATGTTATGAAACTCGGATATAAAGTTATAAAGGAGAAATAAAGAAAATAATACTTATATTCTCTGTTCTATAACAGCAAAAGCATATGTTAGTAACCATGGTGACACCAATATCCTCACACATGAAAGATAAAAATAGTATCTTCACTGCACGCGATGAAGATATGCTTTTTTAGTAAAAGGAAAAATCCTGGTATTTCATCAGTAATGGTATATATTATTACAATGTAGTTTGATTCTCGTGATTGACCTCCTCCCATAGTGACCAATAAATCTTCACATTTTGGCTGGTTGCTTACAGGAGGTTTTGACTGTGGTATTGATTAGATTTGCCAGTGAATTTGGTTTGTCTGTAAAAACAATGTAATGTTCCTCTTTCCCGTTAATAGACTGTATCCCCACCATCCCTGGAAACCACTAAGAAAAAGGCCAAGGTCAAGAGGAGGCTTGAGTTCTCTGCTTCTGACTACAAGTCCAAGAAAAAAATCCGTGTTAAGAGTGACTTAGTTATCTCTGTTGGTCCTATAAATGATAAGGATGCATCTGCTAGTGATGAGATCATAGTATCTGATCAAGAGGTAAGTACAGTTGGCAAAACGACAGTCCCATTCAATGTTCTTTTCCACATACTATTACTGGGGGAAGGAAGATCATTCGTTATACCAAGGACTGCATAAACCCTAACCAATGTGTATTTTTTTTGTTAGCCTGCGGAAGAATTTGCAGTTGGCCAGTTAGTTTGGGGCAGATTGAAGGGCTATGACTGGTGGCCTGGACGCCTTGTTTCCTACATTGAGGCACAAAAAACTCCACCCTCTACAAATAATCACTGGATCAGGTGGTTTGGGGATAACAAGTTTTCACTGGTTTGTAGATTTGTTTAGTATACATGTAAAGTCAAAACTCTCAAGGTTATGCTCTAAGAAAAATATTAAAGGGAGCGCAGTGCTCTGAATCTACAAAATCCAGGATGTTTGAACTGCATATGATTATGAAGAAACTATGAAACTAAAAAGATTAGCGCAAGAGCAGAAGTAAGCTGGTCCTACTAAAGGGGCCATTGGGTGCTGCTAGCAAGTGAGCACAGCCCTGACTCTCATAATCAGACAGCTGTTTTTTCTGCAAGATTTCAAGATGGCTTTTGCATCCAACTACATCTGCATCAGTCGCAAATGTTAGGAAGACTGTAGACAGTCTTAACAAGTTTTTAGTCCTATATTTCAACCAAGAAAAGTCATGACATTATTTCTTTAACAAATTATTACAGCTGTACCCTTAAAAGCATCCTTGCATCTCAAATTTCTAATGCCTAATAAGTCTTTACACATCCCTGTTACTTAAATGTTATTGATAATACCAGAGATCCCCTCCTTATTTTTTATGTTCTGATGTAAAGACTAAGCAAGATAGTCTGTCTGTCTGTCTGTCTGCAAAATACATATTGACGTCGACACCATATGTGGGTTGAGTTTGTTGTTGGTTCTCTCCTTTGCTCCAAGAGGTTTTTCTCTGGGTACTCCGGTTTTCCCCTCTCCTCAAAAACCAACATTTCCAAATTCCAATTCGACCAGGAATCAGGTAGATGAAGAACCACTATGTGGAAGTGCTACCACCAAATCATTATTTATTTATTTATTTATTTATTTATCTATTTATTTATTTGTTTTGTGTGTTTATTCATGATTGTACATGTAATATTGTATCAACACTTGTTCTAGCTTCCTGAGTCATGTTTACGCCCACTGTCCAAATTCAGAGAAAGTCTCAACCGTGGAAAATTGAGAGGAATTTACAAGAGAGCTATTCTTGATTGCTTAGAGGTAAGGTTGAATAAAGAGTGTAATATGCATGACCATAGTCAGAGTCCTGTTCATGCAGAAAAGGTTTATTTTCTGATACAAATTTATTATGTAATACCCTCATTTTAATTAAAACAATGCTGCAATCCTTTTGCTTCTCTAAGCAGGCTATCAACTTTCTACAATGCTTAAAAAAATGCATACATGTCATTATGGTAAATTTTGCTTATCTGGGGTCAATTTAATAAAACTTTTACAAGACTAGTGTAATTTAGTGTAAGTGTAGCTATTGTTTTAGAGTCTCAAAATAATAGCTCGTAAATTACACCTGTAAAAGTTTTATTAAATCGACCACTGGTTAGACAGTTGCTGTAGGAGTGGCCAATGAAAACCTGCTCATCTCAGGCTGGTGGTTTAATGCTTAATCTAGTTAACTGCCTTGCTGATAACTTTAGCTTTCAAGAAGTCCAGAGCATTCAGCCAGTCTTGTTGATTTTGTTCAAGAAATAGTGATTGCGGATTGGTATTAATTTTTATACTTTTCTAAGGTGGCTGCTAGTAGGTGTGGAAAAGTGTTCTCTAAGAGTCCGAAGAATCAAGCAGTGCAAACAAAAAAAAGCAGCAGAACAAGGCAGACAAAGAATGACGCAAATAAGATTGCCAAGCAGCAAAAGGATGAAGTACTTACTGATAAAGAGAAGCAGGATATGATGCTAGAATGGGCAATGAATGGGTTTAAACCAAGTGGCCCTAAAGGTTTTGCTCCAACTGAAGGTAATGGAAACATGTGCATTGATTGCGGGCACAAGAGGAGTTCACAATCCTAATCTCCAGGTTGTTATTACGCATGCGTCACATGTATGTAGGCAGCATTCGTTTGGACTTCCACTAAGAATGAACGGAGTGCAGAGAATACAATTTGATCTTGTGCGTTTCGACCTTCTACCCCTAGTAATCTGATTGACACGTACGTTTTGACTATCTGTCACGTGAAAGCTACGCAAATTAGCACAGCGTTGAAGCAAAAATGTTTTGAAATTTGGTTATTACTAGTATAAGTAAATGTATATTTAACTCTTAATGATACGTCCCTTGATTTCCATGCAGCCTTTTCTGCACCAGC